TTTTTTTGAGATGGAGTTTTACTCTGTTGCCCGGGCTGGAGTGCAGTGGCGTGATCTCGGCTCACTGCAACCTCCACCTCCCGGGTTTAAGTGATTCTCATGCCTCAGCCTCCCAGGTAGCTGGGGTTACAGGTTTATGTCACCACGCCCGGCTGAGTTTTGTATTTTTAGTACAGACGGGGGATTTGCCATGTTGGCCAGGCTGGTCTTGAACTCCTGACCTCAAGTGATCCACCTGCCTCAGCCTCTCAAAATTGAGCCTGTTTTAAATAAAAGCTATATGACCTTTGCCTTAGAGCCTACATTCATTTTTCCCTCAGAGGGGAAGGAAGCTGATTTTTATAAGCACTTACCGTGTGCCGTGAGCTTTGCGGAATCCACCTCATTCAACCCTTACCATAGACTGTAAGGCAGATGTCACTGCTCCCGCTCACAGATGACAACCCCAGGCTCAGCAAACAGAAATGACTGACCTCTTGGCCTGCGTTCTTCCCACTGCCTCCACTACCCCACTGTGCTTTCCTGGCCTTAGGGCCCTCGGGTCCCTAACGGACAGGCCCCCACACTGCCCGGGAAACGCAGCAGAACTGGAGGGGTTTCTTCTCTGAGGATTCTGGTGTCAGGAGATGGCAGCCCAGGCACAGTGGACAGATGGATGAGACATTCTCCTTCTCACGCACTTATCCTACACGCTGGTCACTCTCAAAAGCACAGCCCTAGGCACACTGGGGCTCACACTCTCTTGCACACATTGATTTTTTCACGTGCACTTGCATTGCCCTCTGGGCTTCTGCAGTCTCTTTCATGAGGCAGGGGTGGGTGGAGCAGGGGCTGCCGGCACTGATGGAGACTGATGCTACTCGAACTCCCGTGACAACTCACTCTCTAGCTGTCCCCGCCTCCCCACACCCCACCCCTAAACACACATGCACTGGGGCTGACAGCTATTTCCTCTCTCAGCCTCCGTCTCCCACCTCTGTCTGCCTGCTGCCTCTTGTCTAGCTGCTGTCAGGAGCTGACTGCCTCCGGGGCTGGAATCCTGTGCTCCCTCTGTGCCCAGGTAAGGAGGCAGTGGCCCAGGGGCTGAGCGGCCTAGCGCCCTCTCTGGACCCACAGGAGAAGGCAAAGTTTTACCAAGTGAGAGGGCTGTTACCAGCTAGATTGGCAGAAGGCTGAGTTTACCAAAGATTGGAGGGGGACTTGGTGCTCAGAGGAGGGAAGGACTAGCTTCTTTGAGGCATTAACTAGATGTCAGGTACCAGGGGAAGCCACTCAACTGTCTGTCAATATTCACAAGCAGTCTGGGTGGGAAGATGACACCAGCGGGTTTAAAGTAACTGGCCTAAGGTCACGTAGCCAGGAAGCCGAGGAGCTGGGATTCAAACCCAGGTCTTGGACTCCCACAGCTTGCACACTCTGGCTGCCTCTTTTTTTTTTTTTTTAACCTGCCAAAGCTGGACCTTAGCTGCTGGGCTCCTGAGAATCTTGGGAGGCCGGGGGCTGTCTCTATTGAGTCAGAAGGACTGATCTGGCGGTTCCCAAGGATGGCAGGACTGTGCTCTCTGATCATCCCCATGGGACTTGGATAAGCAGCAGCTGGTCTGCAGGGAATGTTTCAGGGCAGTGGGTAGCACTTGGCTGTCTGCTGGGAGTGAAGTCCCAGCCCCACTGCTGCAGCTGAGGAATGCGGGGCAAGTTGCTGTGCTTTTCTGACCTTCATCAGTTTCTTCTTCTGAAAACTGGGGTCTCATAGGTCCATTGCAAGAGTAACTGCTCTGCATATTCTAAAGCCTAGGAAGTGCCCATTCTCAGGAAGCACAGGCTCCTTTTCCATCTACCTGCAGATTCCCAGCTCCAAGGGGCTCATCTGCCAGCAAAATTCTAGTTTGATAACCCAGGACCCCACCCTATAGAGGACTGTGGTCTCCAGAAGGGAGTGGGTTTTCTCATCCTGGCCAACAGTGTTTTCCCTAGAAAGATGAGTACTAAAGACCATTGCTCCCCTCTCCCACTTTCCTTCTTCCTCCTCCATCCTCTCTTCCTTGGAATAGGGGAAGAGGAGAGAGCACAGGCTGAGCCTGAAACTTGCTCCTCCACATGTTTGTGCTGTCTGGGTGGCCCTGGGCCAGTTATTTAACCACTTGAGGCTCAGTTTTCTCATCTGTAAAATGGGATGGAGTACTAGCACCATTCTTCTAGAGCCAGAAAGACAGCACCTATTGAAGGACCTACCATAGTACCTGGAGTGTCACTGGTGCCCAGGACAACCCGAGTCCCTGTCCCTGGCTACTTGCCCCCTGCCTCCTGCATGGAGCCTCATGCAATTTCTTCAGCCCTCACTGATCCTGACCAGCCTCACATCAGATGGTCTTCAGGCTTTCAATGAGGATGTGAGCATGCACGTCTTATTTCTGGATGAGTGTGCGGGGGAGTAAGTGAATGAACAGGGCACAGAGAGCTGCTGTGGCTACTCCTGAGCGGGGAGAGATCTTTTGGCCCCATTGGGCCTGCAGAGCCCCATGTGGGAGTTCCTCCTACCCAGCTCTCCTGGCTCTTATCTTATTTCCTCTCCAACTATCAGAGGAGGGGCTGGTTCCACTGTTCACAGTCAACACATCTAACCAGCCACCACTGAGTGCGGGGAGCTGCACGGAGAATCTGTAGAGAGGCAAGGTCTGGGGGTGCTGTGGGTGGGAAGGGGCAGCATCTCCATCCCCCAGGCCAGCAGGACCCTCTTGCCCTAGTTGTGGGGACTCCTTCACCCGCCAGTGCTCTGGGGATTGGAAAAAGAAGTCCTGTGGGCCTGACCTTGTTCCTATTTCTCTGTGTGATCCTAGACCGTTTGCTTCATAGTCATCACAACGACACTGATATAGAGCTTGCTGTGTGCCAGGCCATGTTCTAAATGCTTTTATGTAGTAACTCATTTAATGCTCCCAATAACTCTATGAGCTAGGTGCTGTTATGACTGACATCCAAGTTTCAGATTCAGAAAAAGGCTCAGGAAGGTTAAATGACTTGCCCAGGCACAGCAATGCTGGGATGTTACTCCCCCCGCCCCCACCGCCCAATATATTCATGGGTCACATTGGCATCTCCTGGGGACGGTCCCACCCCAGGCCTCTCTCTTGGTTCCCCCGTGGCCCCTGCACTGCCAACCTAGGCACCTCCTTCCCTCCACTGCAGAACCCCACGATGTCCGCCAACGCCACGCTGAAGCCGCTCTGCCCCATCCTAGAGGAGATGAGCCATCTCCGGAGCCACAGCAACACCAGCATCCGCTACATCGACCACGCGGCCGTGCTGCTGCACGGGCTGGCCTCGCTGCTGGGCCTGGTAGAGAACGGAGTCATCCTCTTCGTGGTGGGCTGCCGCATGCGCCAGACCGTGGTCACCACCTGGGTGCTGCACCTGGCACTGTCTGACCTGTTGGCCTCTGCTTCCCTGCCCTTCTTCACCTACTTCTTGGCCGTGGGCCACTCGTGGGAGCTGGGCACCACCTTCTGCAAACTGCATTCCTCCATCTTCTTTCTCAACATGTTTGCCAGCGGCTTCCTGCTCAGCGCCATCAGCCTAGACCGCTGCCTGCAGGTGGTGTGGCCGGTGTGGGCGCAGAACCACCGCACCGTGGCCGCAGCGCACAAAGTCTGCCTGGTGCTCTGGGCGCTAGCGGTGCTCAACACGGTGCCCTATTTCGTGTTCCGGGACACCATCTCACGGCTGGACGGGCGCATCATGTGCTACTACAACGTGCTGCTCCTGAACCCGGGGCCTGACCGCGACGCCACGTGCAACTCGCGCCAGGCGGCCCTGGCAGTCAGCAAGTTCCTGCTGGCCTTCCTGGTGCCGCTGGCGATCATCGCCTCGAGCCATGCGGCCGTGAGCCTGCGACTGCAGCACCGTGGACGCCGGCGGCCCGGCCGCTTTGTGCGCCTGGTGGCGGCCGTCGTGGCGGCCTTCGCACTCTGCTGGGGGCCCTACCACGTGTTCAGTCTGCTGGAGGCACGGGCGCACGCCAACCGCGGGTTGCGGCCGCTTGTGTGGCGCGGGCTGCCCTTCGTCACCAGCCTGGCCTTCTTCAACAGCGTGGCCAACCCGGTGCTCTACGTGCTCACCTGCCCCGACATGCTGCGCAAGCTGCGGCGCTCGCTGCGCACGGTGCTGGAGAGCGTGCTGGTGGACGACAGCGAGCTGGGTGGCGCGGGAAGCAGCCGCCGCCGCCGCCGCACCCCCTCCACGGCCCGCTCGGCCTCCTCCTTAGCTCTCAGCAGCCGCCCCGAGGAACGGCGGGGCCCCGCGCGCCTCCTCGGCTGGCTGCTGGGCGGCTGCGCAGCGTCCCCGCAGAGGGGCCCCCTGAATCGGGCGCTGAGCAGCACCTCGAGTTAGAACCCGGCCCGGGTAGGGCAGCGCTCACACGTGAAAGCATCACCAGGGCACTGCGGTTCAACTTGATATCCGGACTCCAGCCACAGTGATCAAAGTCGGAGGGGGCGGGACCCAGGCATCTGCATTTTAAAGCGCCCCGGGAGACTCTGAATCTTTTTCAGAAACAGTGAGTTAAAGCAGTGCTTCTCAAACTTTGATGTGCCTGTGAAAAACCTCGGGGGTCTTGTTAAGTGCAGGCTGATTCAGGAGGCCGGGCCGGGTGCTGAGAGTCTGCATTTAACAAGCTCCCAGGCCGCGAAGCCAGTGCGGCAGGTTCACAGAGGAGGCCTGGAGTAACACAAAGTGAAACTCATAATAGACTTCCCACACTAGGGCTGTGGAGTCGGAAGGGCACACGGGCGTCTCCCTGGAGCTCAGTTTTACCAGATGATGGGAGAGGGAGTCTTATGTTAAACCAGCTATGCATTTTTGGAGAAGAGAGAGGCAAGGTTTGAGAAGCACTGTTCCAGTCGGCCCTCTTTATTTAGCCAGTGCTTACTGCCCTAGACGCTTTATCCCACAATCTTAAGGAGCAGCTTCTATTAGCCAGTCTTTACAGCTGAGCACATTCTGGCTCAGGGAGGTTAAGTGACGTGCCCAGTTTCAGGACTAAGGACCACAGGGGTCTGCACTGTATGTAACCCTAGGCATCACATGCTCAATGACTCTGGTGAGCGAGGACATTCTCTGACTTACTGGAGGGACCTAAGATGCTACCCTGTGACCCAGCACTGCCCAAAGTGCTTCCAAGGCAGAAGCAGCAGGGGATGGCGTGGTCAAGCACTCGGGAAACCTGGGGCTAATCAAATCCAACAGGGGAAATGACTAAGTCTTCGGTCTTTAGAATTTGAATGGGCACAGCAACTCCGAGACTACAGCACGTGTCATTTCTTAGCTGAGCTGACCAGCCTCCCTGCAGGCCTGGTATTCTGTGGGATACCACTGGGTATCCCCTGGGCACTGGTAATCCCAAGATCTGTGCAGCCCCCGCCTCCAGGCTGCATGGGGCTGGGCAGCTACCATTTCCCATTTGTGGGTAGAAGGGGTAACTTGCATTTCTGACCTACCACTTCCACTGCACCGCGTCTCATTCCTCCATCTGCCATGGACTTGGGGTCAGAGACTGCTGGGTTTGAGCTCTGCGGCCCAGGGACTGAAAAACTGGTGCCAGTGAATTCTGCTTGGTGGACGAAACGTCAGTGGAAGAAGCAGATGAGAACCTCTTGAGATCTTGGTCCTGTATTTTTTTCTGCCACCAAAGCCAGGGTCACTGAAGGCCTGGCCCACAGCAGGCGTTGAGCAAAGGGAACAGTGAGGTGCCCAGCTAGCTGTATTGACACCCTGTATTGACACCCCACCCCTGCTCCCTCCTATCCCTTCCCCCTTTACTCATAGCACTTCCCCCATTGAACACGTGGTGCATTTTGTTTGTTTATTATGTTTCCTCTCCATTAGAATGAAAGCTCCTCGAGGGCAGGGACTTTGGTCTATTGTCTGTATTTGCTGGTGCCTAGGATTGTGCCTGTATGCAATAGGCACTCAATAAACATTTTTGCTGTAGACTGGACAGGCATGAGTTAGTCAGATTCTCTGGGGCTTCTGCAGAGTCTGGTTTGGAAAAGGAGGTACTGGGGAAAAACTCTGCTCCCCGCAACCTCCCCATTTTAATCTTTCAGTGTTGAAAAGTGGAGAGGAGCCGGATTCAGTTTGCTGGGGACAGAGCCAGTGGGGTATGGAGGTGCTCAGAGCAGTCTTTGGGAAGGTGTGGGGGGAAGCTGGGTTCCCAACTGCCAGCCTCCAGGCCTGGGATGGACCTAGCATGCTGAGAAAGGGCATACACCGCTGGGGGAGTCACCTGCCAGCCACCAACTCACTGAGGAACCAGAAGAATTGCTGTTCTTGGTTTGAAGGCACTTGGAGGAGAGGAAGGAGGGATGGGGGCTGAATCTCTCCCCGCCCCCATCTCTGCCAGGTCCCAGGTCCCCTCTGGGCTTCTGTCCCACACAGACCTGCCTGGAAGCCTTCAAAGGCCGAGGAGTCCCGGTCGAGGTGGGGTCCCTGTTCTGCAGCCACGGGGTTGGAGTGCTGGCTCCAGCAGAGGTCTCAGGGTGCTGTGTCTGACATGATTGTTGGCCATGGAAGGCCTCGGGCTGTCCTGAGCTCAGATCTTGGCTGCTGGCCGCTGGGGCGGCTGCTTCTGCAGCAGGGCCAGGGTGTCCCGCTTCTCAATGGAGCGCAGCTGCTTCTTCTTTGCCCGCTTGAGCTTGGCGGGGTTTCGGATCTGGGGATGGTATGAGGGGAGGGCATTAGTGTGGCTGCAGCCTTGGTCCAAATTCCCAAGGGAGAGGAAGCTGCCCCACAGGGGCCTGAGATCACAGCATGACAGTGGGGGCACATGAGGCAGGGGTCGAGGCCCTGGTTTGCACCCCCAAGCGGGGCAGAAAGGCAAGGGGGGAAAACGAGACACTCACCACTTGGACGACTTCTGCCTTCCGCTCATTCTCCAGGCGGCGTTTCAGGTTCTCGGCCCGGCGCTGTTTCTTCTCCTGGAACATGCAGAAGGGGATTTGAGTCGGGGAGCGGAGGCGGCCCTGGTCTCCCAGACCCCAGAAGAGTGCAAGCTGGCAGAATTCCCACAAGGAGAAAGGCCCTCTAAACCAGGCTCCAGGTTGGTGATGTGTGGGTGGAGGGCCAGCGGGAGCAATCCTGTGCCACGGTCTAGTGCCAGGGGCCAGTGCCAGGGGCCCACTGTGGTGGAAGCTCCTGACAGCACGTTGGGAGATGGGTATGGGACAGGTAACTGAGAACAGGGGCTGAGACATGGGGGGTGCCCACCTAGAGATTCACGCACATGCAGACAGTGGTCCCTTGGGCCACTCTCATCAACTGCCAAGGGAGAAAGGGGTGCTGGCCCTTCCCCCATTCCCACCCTCTTGGACGGTCTCCCCCTCTTCCCCTGGAGTCCCGCTGCTGCAGAATGCCAGGTTAGGGGTGAGGGCTGGGTCCCTGAGATTTTCGCAGGTGTGGGGCTGGGGAGGGGCTGCACTGCACAGAAAAGGCTCTGGAGCTATCTGGGCTGGGTTCGAATCTTGATCCTGTTATTTCCCAAACAGATGACCTTAGCAAAGTCTGTGCCTCAGCTTCTCCATCTTTAAAGTGACAGTGACCACAGTATCTACCTTGTAAGATAGTTTTGAGAAATCATTGAGGGAATGCATGTGCAGGGCTTGGAGCAGCCCCTAGCTCCTTGGGCACACTGAGACTCTCGATGGAGTCTGTCTTGGGAGGGGAAGCCCAGTGCTCTCTGGCCATGCTGACTGTGTCCCTCGGCAAGGCCAGGGTGGGGATGTCAGCTCCAAGGCTGCTGCATGGTTAGGGGTCTCTGCTGGCTTTGGTGACTTGGGGTAGCAGGGGTGGCCTAGGCCCTGGGGGAGGAAGGAGAAGTGAGCCGTGGCCTCTTGTGGTCAAGGCAGGCCTGGGCTGGGCAGGAGTACCTTTGCAGAGGACCGTGAGAAGTGAGATGGCAGCTCTGTCTTGCCCAAGAGGGAGCCAGGGCCACACAGGAAAAGAGATAAGGCCTCAGCATACAGTGGCAGACACACCGTTCCTCGGATGTCAGCTGTAAGCTGAGCTGGGGTGACTTAAAGCAGGGGACAGATGACTGAGTGACTGGCCCACCGCTTTCCTCAGTGGCCAGGCTGGGACCACGGGCTAGGGATGAGTTGTCTGAATCCCGTTCAGCACTCCTCCTACACCCCTGGGGTCATTAGAGGAGTGGAGGAAGAACCTCCCACTGCTGTCTCTGCCCTGGGGGGCAGGTGCTGACCAATGCCACCCCGCTTTCTCTGCATGCTGCCTGCTAAGCATGGCCTCTTCCCCCCATCCCCAC